CTTTACAATAATGATCGTCTGTAGTATTTGTCTTATGAGACTGAGTTCACTCAGCATAATACTCTTCAGCCTGTCCTATGTATTATAATATTTTTCATATTTGTGCTTCTGAATGATAGATAGTATCCCATCATGTTAATATATCACAATTTTTCAATCGATTCATTTGTTGATAGACATTTAGGATGTTTCCATTTTCTGGCTATTGTGAATAACACTACTTGTACATCAGTGTTCAAGTCTCTGTTTGTGTCTCAGTTCTGTTTTCTTTGGGGTGTTTTCCCTAGCAGTGGATTAGCAGGGTTATATAGACTTTCTGTGTTTAGTTTTGGAGGAAACACCAAACTGCTTTCTAGAGTGGTTGTATCTTCTTACAGTCCCACCAACAGTGTGTTAGAGTTTCAATCTCTCCATTTTACCAACATTTATTGTTTACTATTCTGTTAAACTTTTTTACTGCTACTAGGGTGAGATAGTATCTTATTATTGTTTTGCATATCACTGTTATTACCACAGATTTTGAACATTTCTTCATGTGTCTGTTGGCCATCTGAATGTCTTCCTCTATGAAAAGTCTTTCCATGTCTTTTGCCTATTTTGTAATTGTGTTATCAGTCTTTTCCTTGTGGAATTGTGTATTTTGTTTGCTTTCGTATGAGACTCTCATCTAAGATGACATTGATTTAATTTGAAGAATTTAGTATATTTACATTTTTCTACTATACATACATATCCTCAGTACAGATATTTTTCTTGTGAATTTCAAGAAATGTGCCAACAACTTGATTCTTTTATGTTAAATAAAATATTTGTAAATTACTTAATGCTTAAAGTTTCATTTTTATATATAAAGTTTTGTCTTTCTTAATTTTATATAGAAAAGATTTTTCCAGGGAGAAATAGCAAATATATGGCATTCATTCATTCAGGATGTGGGTTATTTATTTATTTAAGATCTACGGTGTGTCCCAGGCACAATTCTGTCATCGGAGATAACACCAAACTGCCATAGCATGTAATTCCTTCTCTGGTGACCCTCCCTTAGGTTTCCAAAGCTGTTAATCTTTATTGCCAGAGACTGCTCAGCTTTCTCCATGGAACAGCTGATGGACGCAGATCACTTTCCTTCTGGCTAGCAGCCAAACATTACTTGAGTTTACTCATTGCTGTTGAGTTGCAAGTGACTCATAGCCAACCCTCTGGTGGGTTCTTGGAAGCTGTAAATTGCCCTGGAGGACGTTGCCTGTCTTTTCTGTGTGGAGCTTCTAGTGGATTCAAACTGCCAGAGCGGCACTGCTTTTGAGTTAGTGTAAGTTCCAGAGGACTATGTCATGAGAAATCCCTACCCTAAAGATCCAACTAATTCTCTCATTTCTGTTCAGTTATAAGTGACTCATAACAGACCCCCTAGTGGGATTTCAGAGGCTACACATCACATGAGAGGAGATTCCCCATCTATCTCCGAAAGAGTAACTGATAGAGTCACACTGTCTGCATTTGGGTTGACAGCACAATTGCTAAACCACTAAGCCACCAGACCTTCCTCCTAAAATTATGTTGTTGTTGCGTGCCATTGAGTCAGAACTGACTGATAGTTGAGCTTCCAATCTATTTGAGAGGCAATAAATCACATAAGAGAAGATTGCTAATGAGGGGGGGCGGGGAGGAAATAAATTTATGGCCCCTGACCTGGTAGATGTAGCAGCAAATAGTATTTGCTTGGTCCAGAAGAGGTGATCTTATGCACAGGAATCATTGATTTTTAAGGAGACAGTTTAACCACTGAAAGTAAGCAAAACTTAACTGGACATACAATATCTGTTGTATCTATTATTTTGCATTAAATTATTTCAATGAGGTGAGAAAGTTCTGCCTCCTTTTTAAATAAAAAGCAATTTTAGTAAATGTTCTCTAATATAATTTCACTATAATACAAGATATGGATTATCTTCTTTAATGTGACCTACTAGCCATATGTAGTAAGCTCAAGGAACTGAAGAACAAATTCAAACCTCGACTTGCAATAATCAAGGATGCTTTAGGCAGAATATTAAATGATCCAGAAAGTATTAAAAGAAGATGGAAAAAATGTACTGAGTCACTGTATCAAAAGGAACTGACAGACACAGAAGAATTTAATGAAATAATATATGAGCAAGAGCCTATGGTGATGAAAGAAGTTCAGGATGCTTTGAAGGAAATAGCAAAAAATAAGGCCCAGGAATAGATGGTATACCAATTGACATATTTCAGCTAACAGATGCTGCCTTGGACAGCTCACGAAGTTGTGCCAAGAAATCTGGAGAACAACCACTTGGCCAACTGACTGGAAGAGATCTATCTTTGTTCCCATTCCAAAGACAGGTGACCCGATGGAGTGTGGAAACTATAGAAAAATCTCATTGATTTCACATGCAAGCAAGATTCTACTGAAGATTATCCAAAAATGACTGGAAGAGCACATCAGCAGAGAATTGCCAGAAGTGCATTCTGGGTTTAGAAGGCGTTGTGGTACTAGGGATATTGTAGCTAATGTTAGATGGATCTTAGCTGAAAGCAGGGAGTACCAGAGGAATGTCTATCTGTGTTTCATTGACTATGCAAAGGCATTTGAGTGTGTGGATCATAACAAACTGTGGTTGACTCTGAGAACAATGGGAATACCAGAACACTTGATCATTCTAATGCGAAACCTATACTTGGACCAAGAGGCATTTGTCAGAACAGAGCAAGGAAACACTGCATGGTTCAAAATTGGGAAAGGTGTACACCAGGGATGTGTCCTTTCTCCATACCTTTTCAACCTGTATGCAGAACAGATTATCCGAGACGCTGGGCTCTATGAGGAGAAGTGTGGCATCAGGATTGGTGGAAGATCTGTTAATAATCTGCGTTATGCAGATGACACAACCTGCTTGCTGAAACTGAGTAGCACCTGAAATGCTTCCTGCAGCGGGTCAAGGACTGCAGCCTTCAGTATGGATTGAGGCTCAATGTCAAGAAGACAAAGATCCTCACCACTGGACCAATTGGCAGCATCAGGATGGAAGGTGAAGAGATTGAGATTGTTAACAACTTTAGTCTCCTTGGCTCCACGGTCAACACTCTTGGCGCCAGCAGCCAGGAAATAAAAAAACATATTGTGATGGGAAAGTCTGCTGTTAGGGACCTCTCCAGGTTACTGAAGAGCAGTGGTGTCAGTCTGGAGACTTAAGTTGCATCTGATACAGGCTGTGGTCCTTGTTCTCACTTTTCGTGTGTCAGAGAGTTGGACAATGACTAGAAAAATAGAAGGAGAATCAATGCTTTTGAGCTGTGGCGTTGAAGAAGAGTATTGAATGTACCTTGAACTGCCAAGAAAACAAACAGATTCATCCTGAAGAGTGTTAAACCAGGCTGCTCCTTGGAGGCAAGGATTCTGGGGCTTCGTCTGACATACTTTGGACATGTTGCCAGGAGGGACAGGTTCTTGGAGAGGGACATCATGATTGGGAGGGTGGAGGGATGGCATGGGTAGGGAAGACCCTCTATGAGGTGGATTGATTTAATGACTGGGGTAATTGGGATGGGTGTATCAGAGGCCATGTGATTGGTATGGGATAGAGCAGGGTTTAGGGCTGTTGTATATAGGGTCGCTATGAGTCGCAAGCGACTGGAAGGCACATAACAACAACAACAACAACATTGGCATTAGAATAATTTCTTTTAATTACAATTTGTTTTATATTTCTAGGTTTATGAAAATGTCATTATACCTCATTCTAGTTTGACTACTTTTTTTGAGCAAAGACACACACAGACACAAATTTTGAAGATCACAGTAACTAGTGTAAATTTACAGAAATTTTTTTGAACAAGAAAAGAAAAATGGGAATTGAATACCATGCAAAGTTTGGGATTCTCAGTTACAAGTTTCCTTCTCTTTTTGCTAAATTTTAGAACAGGAAGCACATCCACATTTTTTTTAATTATTTGGGCCCCTAATCTAAATGAATTCAGCTTCTCAAATACTGAATATAAATTGGACTCAACAGCAAGAATCATTCTGTAAATCTTTGGTCTTTATTACCTTTTGTGTTCAAGCAAAAATACAGTTGCCTATATAGAGTTTTAGAAATTATTTCTAAAAGGGTCTAAAATTGGTGGGTGAAGGGAGTGGGTAAAGGAAATGGGAATGATCCCATGGGGACCTGAAAGACAAGATAATGGTGGACATAAGTCAGTCGTGATTAATTTTATAAAACACAATGTATGGGAATGATTGTATGAAGCACAATGTGAATGAAGGAAAATGTAAAACACAATGTATACACATATTGCAAGGAGGGATCAGTCCTTGGAGAAGAGTGTCATTCTTGGGACAGTGGAGGGACAGTGCAGGAGAGGAGGATCCTCAATGAGGTGGATTGAGTCAGTGACTGGGGTAATGGGGGTAGATATGTCAGAGACAAGATTGGCACAGGACAGAGCAGGGTTTAGAGCTGTTTTACATAGGGTCACTATGAGTCACAAGCGACATGATGGCATATAACAACAACGACATACACATTTTGTATGGAAACCAATATAAAATAAAAATTTTTTAAAAGTCCAACATACTATTATTAAAGTCATTTTTACTAATATATGACTTATCTTGGCTACTTCTCTTTTTCACTCATAAAAACCATACTATTCCATAATTTAATAGATAGAGTACTTGCCAGGGAAAACTTTTGGAGTACTTACTAGGGAAAAGTTTTGAGAAAGTTAATTTTTAAAGTAGCTAGTAAGGATATAAAGCTATAAAATATAAAAGAAAATAAATATAAATAAATATGAAAATCATAAAGATTTAACTTTATATGTTAACCAGTGTCATATTTTTCATCCCGTATAATGTTATTGTTAACATGTTTCACTTTTTTCTTGGTATTAGCAAAAATATAGGGATTTTTAAAATGCTGATTATTAATTAGATTTTAAAGTATAACATTCCTAATGAAATCCATCTCTTACAGCTCAAAGATGGCGGCAAGGCATCCCAGGCAAATGTAAGGATAGGCGATGTGGTTCTCAGCATTGATGGAATAAGTGCACATGGAATGACTCATCTTGAAGCCCAGAACAAGATTAAGGGATGTACAGGCTCTTTGAATATGACTCTGCAAAGGTAAATTGTGTTTTGAGGGGTTTTTTGGGGGAGATTTGAGAGAGACAGAGACCATTGCTGAATAAAGTGTTTTTGCATGTCTGATTCATGGTGCTAAGATACCATTTCTTGTACCATTGTTTCACATAAAAATAAAATAGCTCTTAAATGAAATAAACAGTATAACTGACTGAGGCTGAATTTTTATTGTAGGCTAAAGCTCATAGCCCTAGTATTCTAAGGAGTATTGATGTTGTTGTTGATTACCATAAAGTCGAGCACTACTCATAGCGACCCTATGAACAAAAGACCTGAAGCAAATATTTCTATAACTATTGGCATTTCTCAAAGTTCATAGAGTTTCCAGAGGAATGTAATTTAGGAGGTGGATGCCACTCCTGCTTTCAAAGGTATTAAGGAGTATTATTTTAGTGTGTGGTTTAGCTTTCTTTAGATTGTCTATTTTGCCCACCCCCCTCCATCAAAAATGGTGTTTTTTTAAAGAAATATACTCATTAAAAGCTGAATTTTTTTTTATTGTTATGATTAATTTCTTAAGAGTTGCTTTTATTTTTTTTTTTACAAAGAATACAGCCTTTAGTATGAATTGTGTCTCAGTGTCAAGAAAACAAAGATTCTTACCACTGGGCCGATAAGCAAAATCATGATGGATGGAGAAAAGTTTGAAACTGTCAACAACTTCATCTTACTTGAATCCACAATTGAGTATCCTTGGATACCAGGAGTCAGAAAATCATGAGACATATTACACTGGGAAAGTCTACCATTAAGGACCTCTCCAAGTTCTTGAGGAGTAATGATGTCTGTTTGAGGATTACGGTGCATCCGATTAAGGCCGTGGTCTTTCAGATCACTTGCTGTACATCTGAGAACTTGACAATGAATAATGACAGAAGAATTGATGCCTTTTCGATCTATGGTGTTGGAGAAGATTACTGAATATCCTATGGATGCTCAAGAGAACAAAATGTCTTGGAGAAGATGCAGCCAGAGTGCTCTTTGGAGGCCAGGATGATGAGGCTTCACCTCATACACTTTGGACACATGGCTAGGAGGGGCTCAGAAAGGTAGAGAGGTTGGTGAGGAAAGGAAGACTCATCCAGGTGGATTGACAGGGTGACTGCCGCAGTGGGCTCCAATGTGTGAGGAATTGTGAGGATGACAAGGACAGGACAAGGTTTAGACCTGTTGGTCATAGGGTCACTATGATTCATTCCTGATGGCATCTAACAACAAGAGTTACTTTAGCTTTAATAATAAAATAGGCAGACATTTCACTGATTATATTATATTGAGCATTTTTAACATCCCAGTATATCATCTATTTTGAAATAACTGTAATTTCTGTGTTGAATCATGTAAGGGCCAACAATATATTTTACAAGTCTCCCAGTGATTTTTATAAATTTTTTAGTTAGAACCACTGAATCTTGCTAAAGAGATGGGGAGGAGAAAGAATACGTGAAGGCACAGTGTTTGAGTGGCAATGCTGAACTTTGGCAGTAAGCAGAGTAGCCACTCAATTTGGAAAAAAAGGTTATTTTATTTATTAACTGCAAAGCATCTCTTAGTCTTTCAGTAATTATCATGCATTGTCCATCTTTAAGAGGCGAATATAATAATTACCTCTCAAATCAAGATGTTAGACTATGGAACTTTTCCGTCCCTTAGAGCTCCTCAGAACACTAATGTTCAATGGAAGACTTTGGAAAATGCTTTTCTATTCTTTACTATTGCCATTCTAAAACTTTATCATTAGAAGTTTGATACAAGGTAAGTTATATGGACTGCTCTGGTTACATTATCAGTTTGGTCTTGAAACCAAGTGGCATTTTTTTTTTTCTTTTTTACTTCTTAAAGGGAATTTAGGTGCCAGAATTTTAGACTGTTTAATCATTATGAAATTATTGAAAATTTATAAGTATTTTAGACATTAAAGCCATAAAGAAAATAATCTGGTTTATTGCCTGCTTTATGTACTATTTCCCCTCTCGAAACCATCATTTTATTTGCCTATTCTTTGAGAACAGAACAATTAACATATTAAAGTTATAGCGTAGTTGTCTGGAGAAAAAAAAAGTATTGGCTCCCATTATATTTTATATTTAAATGTATATGCATATATAATAAGGAACACAGGTGGTAGCATAGGTGCATAGGTTTAGTGTTGACTACTAAGTGAATATTCCTCAGTTCAAATCCGTCGACTGGTTCATGGAATAAAGATGAGAAAATCTTCTTTTAAGAGTTATAGCCTCAGAAACCCAATGTAGTGTTGTAATGAGTTTGAATAGACTCAGCAGCAGAAAATTTAGTTTTTAGTTTGACATACATGTAATAAAATTAAAATACAGAGAGATATACATGAACACTTGATTGTGCCCCATCATCCCACTTCTAAAATCTTAATGTTCTTTCCTGCTGTGAGTGTTAACAATTTTAAACACATATTCCAGGAAAATAGTTGCTTTTGAATGTACTGTTTCATGCTGTATAATCATATGAGCTCTTTATAAATCTGATACAATCATGACTTTTTACTAGCTCGCTCTTTTGCAACTTTTTTCCTTTAAATGAGTAATTTGTTTTAGTGGCACTGTTGAATTAAGAGTTGAGTATTTTATATTCTGATGGCTATTGTAATGCATAGAAATATAATATGTGAGAAAAATGTTGTTAATGCAGTCAAGTCTTGTACAATCCTATTAAAAACAGATCTGAACCTGTCCTATCCTATACCATCTTCATCATCTCTGACATACTTGAGCCCATTGCTGTAGTCAGTGTGTCTGTCCTTGTTGAGGGTCTTCCTTTACTTCCAGACTCTCCACCTTTCCAAGTATGATGTTCCTCTCTGAGGAATAGTCTCTCTTAACAACATGTCCAAAGTGTGTTGAGAGGAAGCCTCCTTTTTTTCAGGACATATCTATTTTTTCTTTTGCCAGCCCATGAGGTATTCAGATATTCTTCTCCAACTCATCTTTATTGTCCATTCTTTTTATCTCTTTGCATATTTTATATATCATTATATCTCTATCTCTATCCTCAAACTAAAAGCCAAACTAAAAATTTGAGAAAATATACATAGATAAAGGATACAATCTTAATGCACACTTTTTTGTCACTTTAAACCATGTAGGGAGTGTTCCCTTGCTGTGTTCAGATAACAGCTTGTTGATGTAGGTATAAGTTTCATATGGGCATAATTACATGTTCTGGGATTCTGAATTTTCCTATTGTTAGTCAAAATTTGTTATGATCTACACAGTCAAATACCTGTACATTGTAATAAAACACAAATGTTCTGGTATTCTCTTCGTTCAGCCAGGATCTATTGACCATCAGAAATTATATCCCTGGTGCCATGTCCTTTTTTAAACCCAGCTTGAATTTCTGGCCATTCTCTGTCATTGTTACTGTCCTACCCATTTTTGGATGATCTTTAGCAATCTTTTGCTTGCGTGTGATATAATATTGTTAAGTAATTTCCACATTCTCTTGGGCCATCTTTCTTGGAAATGTTAGCAGATAGGAATCTCTTTCTTTCAGCCAAATTGTCCTCCTGATTGCCTTATAATTGTATTTCTGATAGTATTCTTTTGTTATATTGCATATTGAGATACACAGATTAAAAGTTGTTAATTTTCATCACAATGGCTCACCCATTGGGTCCTGATTAGTTTAAACAAGAACCCCCAGCCCACAATTGACTTTTAATCAACTAATGAAAGACTTACCTTCCAGATCCAAACTGCTTTAAACAAGAGGCTACCAACCCCCAACAGACTGTAGTGAATAAATTAAATAGTCATTTTTGTGTAGAAATTTTTAATAAAGCATAGGTTTTGAGAGTTTAAAAAATACAAAAAAGCAGAAAATACATTTTAAAAAATTACAGATGACGATAGGCTTTTCCTCACATTCTAAGAAGAAAATTTTTATAGTGTTCAAACACTTTCCTGTTCAGAGTTAATTTTTACCTCATGGCATTAGGTGGAGTTGAATAGGGTTTAGAAGCTACTATTATTTTGGACTTTAATTTTTTGATAATAGATGACTTCTAGGTTCCCTCTTGTAACACTAACTCTAGTTCTTGTTCTTGTTTTTCCAACTGTAAATAGGTAAATTCCCTAGAACTTGCTGTTAGATCAACCTTAATGTAGTTTGCTTTTTGTGGCTGAGAGAACCAGGAAATTGGACTCTCTTCATCAGAGTTATCTTGGGTTGTGCCAGGTCAGCAAAGTGATTTGTACTGCACAGCTAGTTTTAAGGTGAAAGGTAGGTCAGATAGTGTTCCCAGAGCATATAATCAACAATAAATTAATATTGCAGGAATATGGGGAGTTTGTATAACGTTTCTACTCTATTTTTTTTTTTAAATATTGGCGTATCTGTTTTGAATTTGTTTGAATTGAAGATGATTTCAGGGGATATTTTTGCTTTGAATTTTGTTTAACCTATCAGGTCAGTAGTTTCAGGAGTTCATTTACCCTCCATGGACCCAGAAGATCTAGAGTCCCTGAGAATTTTCAGTTTTGTTCAACATTTATCCCTTTTTGTTCACAGTTACTTTGTGAAATCTTTGGTCAAATGTTCGGAAATGGTAGCCGAGTACCAATGATATTGTCATTACTATGATTCCACTGGTGTTTTGGAAAAGGAGGTAGTTGTTCATGGAGTCATTAATTAGCTATCCATTCCATAAATTTATCCTATTCCTTAGTGAATAATTGTTGTTCCTCATGTGGCCACTTATACACTTTTAAGACCACAGGCACTATATATAAACAATTAGAAGGTAAAATGTTCTCTCTCTTTCCCATCAGATTAACTCATAGCTGATTCTCCATTGGGTTTCTGAGAGTATAAATCACATGAGAAGAAATTACCCATCTTTCCCTTTCAGAAGTGCTGTTGCGTTTGAACTGCCAGTGAAGGTCACCACTACTTTCTGTGAACTATGCCACCAGTTTTCTAGGAGGTGGAACAGAAGCACAGCA